ACTGGAGGATGGGACTTGGGGGTGCTAAATGAGGTTAATTTGATGTTACACTACATCAGGGAATGCTGTAAAGCAGAAGTTTCCATCTAGGGTGTCTGAAGACTGCATACATATACCCAAGTAAGAGAATCGCATGTTTAGATGCTTAGCAATGGAGGGGTTTTAGTTAAACTGGAACTGTAAAAAAGTAGTAGTGGAGTAAAATGTCTTTGCTGCATTTCTTCTCATCTGTCTTTACTACCACAATCCTGGAGGGGTGTGGTGAAAACAGAATAGTCAGGCTTCCTCCATATTTCTTGTAAAAAAGTTGTGTGTGGGTGGAGTTAGTGTGCAGTGCACCCATTTATCTTTCTAGTTAATTGCTTTTGTGTGTTCCGCAGTTTGTGAAGCAGGCTGGCAGCAGAGAGCTCACGTCTAACAGCAGAGCATGTTTACTCTGCTGACAGCTGCTCAGTGTCAGTTTTTCTTTGGACTTTGTGAGTAGCAGTTGAGTTTTTGAGTTTCTCTATGGAGTGCTTAGCTCGTAGTGTTGTGTGTGCTGAATAAAGGCTATTCCTACTTCAACCAAGCTCTAAGGACCTTTTTGCCAGTTACCTTGCTCATACACCTGTGTGTGAAGGGTTTTTGAATGGGCTTGAGGTGTCTGAGAGCTTCAGACCCAGCCCTACAAGGGGCCAGAAACAGCGTCTGTACATGTTGGGATGTGAAGCCAATGTTGACATCATTCATTTATTAAACCAGAATTAATTTACCTACTAACATGAATCAATGAATGTTCTAAGAGCTGGAATTATAGACATACAATTCATTATTTTTAAGCCAAGGTATCATACTTTGCTTACCATGATATGAAGTCTGTTGTGTTTGTTTTTACTTTCTTAAAAAAAAAAATACGGTGAATATTTTATCTAAAACTATGGACAGTAGAAACTGGCCCAGTCCCACGCTTTCCTGCAGGTGTGTGCTAATTTTGTGGGGAGGGGGGCAGGCCTGAGCATACATGCAGCGGGAGCCCTGGTCCACCTCGTCCTTGCATAGGTTACGTGGTTGAGGCTGGGCCCCCCTGGAGGGAAAGGTGCCCATGGCATGTGAATTGGTCAGTCGTGTTGTGGCTGAAGACACATGCATCAGACCCACAGCGGAACAAGGACTGCAGAATGGAGGGGCTGGCCACCAAGCTGAGGCTGGCCTGCAGTGATATGGGGCCCAGGGTGAACTGCGTCCCAGGGGACAAAGGTGCCCAGGAAGGGATGGTGCATCTGCCCAGTGAAGGCCATGTTGCTGGCAGAGGATGCTGCTGCGAGGCAAGAGCGGGGACACCGAGGAGGCCCGCGGGAGGCACAGCCTTGGCGGAAATGAAGATGTGGCCATTATGAAGTCGAGCTCCCGGTCCGGCCCTTGGCCGCCTTGCTGCCCTGCGGCAGGGAGGCCTTCTCCACTGGCCACAAGGCGCTAGCTCAGCTCAGCCCAGCCGCCTCCTCGGCCTGGCCGCCCTTCATGCTCCACACTGTCCAGCTGCCTCTGGTTCAGGCAGGGGCTGGCCACCTCGGGGACCTCGTGGGGGAGAGAAGCACCGTCACTGAAGCTGTGCAAATGCACAAATCTGACACACCAGGGTGGCTCACTTCACAAAGACCACAAGACAAGAGAGACGCTGCAATCGGGCAAGAGGGATTTTATTTTCCAACTAGTTGGGGCCCTTTGCGTTTCGGAAAAGTGGCCCTGAACTTACAATACCAAGGCTTTTTATACAGTTTTTCTTAGACAGACTCTCATAACAGGCTGAGTTTTCAATTAGCTGTGGCGCCTTAAGATTTATGGTTAGGCTCAACAGACTAGCACCCTGATAAAAGATGTTACATGTTTATCTTCCCTGTTCCAGCCAGGTGTCCAGAAGATAAGGAGGGGCCTGGTTTAGTCCTTGGGACCGGCTGTCTCCTGGAATGTGTGTCTGGTTCTGCCTTGACTTCTGCCTGACCTCTTAAAAGCTGCTTCACCTTTAGATATGTTTTCCCCGTTTATAGTAAGTGCTTACAGGAATAATTGGTGCAGGTTAAGTTAAAGTCATATATTTCTGTTACAATTTGTGCAGGCTAAAGTTATATAGGCAATAGTGCAGGTTAGAGTTACATTTTTATAACACAAACTGAGGTCCGGCCGGGCTCCTCCTGAAGGCGAAGCCACTGTGAGGGCTGGTGCTCAGGCTGAGCCTGCTGGCCCCCACAAGCTTTTCCTGGGTGGGCAGCGGGTGTGGCGTCGGTGCCGGCTCCTCGGGATGGAGGGAAGGAGCAGGCAGAGCTTGCTCGAGGTGGAGCCAGCCTGCAGCGGGCTGTGCCAGACGTGGCCAGGTCCGTGTCCAAGNTCTCATAACAGGCTGAGTTGTCAATTAGCTGTGGCGCCTTAAGATTTATGGTTAGGCTCAACAGACTAGCACCCTGATAAGAGATGTTACATGTTTATCTTCGCTGTTCCAGCCAGGTGTCCAGAAGATAGGGGGGGGCCTGGTTTAGTCCTTGGGACCGGCTGCCTCCTGGAATGTGTGTCTGGTTCTGCCTTGACTTCTGCCTGACCTCTTAAAAGCTGCTTCACTTAAAATACCTTTAGATATGTTTTCCCCGTTTATAGTAAGTGCTTACAGGAATAATTGGTGCAGGTTAAGTTAAAGTCATATTTTTCTGTTACAATTTGTGCAGGCTAAAGTTATATAGGCAATAGCGCAGGTTAGAGTTACATTTTTATAACAATCTTCCCCCTTTTCTTCTGGTTCGTATTTCAATCATGAAATACTTGATCCTTGCTGATTGAGTTCCTGGTATTGTTGTCTTAACATCATAATTTGTACGGTACCAATACGGTTCTTAATAAAAGTTACTAAACGATTTAAAATGCAGAGACCGGGACTGGCCTGGTGGCGCACTGCTACAGTGCGCCGCTTGGTGGTGCAGCGGCACTCCCGCCGAGGGTTCGGATCCCACATACAGACCGGCCGCTCACTGGCTGAGCGAGGTGCGGGCGTGACACTGAGGGTCGCGATCCGTTGCCGGTCACGAAAAAAGACAAAAAAAAATAATAATAAAGGAAAAAAAATAAATAAAATAAAATGCAGAGACCAAAAGTTAGAATCAACACTAGAATACTTAGCGGTCCTAACAGGGTGGATACTAGAGTTGGGAGCCAAGGGGAGGAGTTGAACCATGACTCAAACCATCCCTGTGTTCGTTCTCTTTCTCTCTCTCTTTTTTTTTTTTTTTTTTTGGCCAACTCTTCTCTAATTTTGGCCATGGAGTCCTTAATTACCCCTGAATGATCAATGTAAAAACAACATTCCTCTCGTAATGCAGCGCAAACCACCCCCTGCTGAAGAAACAAGAGGGCTAGACCCTTTCTGTTTTGCAGGACCACCTCAGAAAGGGAGGTGAGGGACTCTTGTAACTTGGTGATAGAATTTTCTATTTCCTTAATATCAGCATCAATAGCTGCCTGCAAACTTTGGTAATTCTGATGCTGAATAGCTAGAGCTGAGGCTCCTGCTGCTGCCCCGGCTGCCCCCAATCCCAAGCCTAGGAGGACAGAGAGTGTGATACTTAGAGGCTCTCTTTTAGTCTGATAGTTTTCATTGTTTTTATCCCAATATGACAATAGTTCCTCTTAGGGATGGTAAACGAGCCGAGGCAGCAACTGAACTAAAACACAAAAATCTTGAGTTTCTTTTCGGACCTTTGAGCTAACACAGGGTGTAATTCCGGTCGCACAGGCCCACCATCCCCCCTGAGGGGGCAACAGATAGGTGTCATCCGACCACTTAGTTAAGTGTCTGATTGTACAGCTGGTTGTGCGAGGAGGGAAATTTCCCCACACACGTTCCTTGCCCTGTAACTGCTGACAGGGTAAGCTTGATTTGCTGCTGCTGCCAACGACAGTTAGAAACATTTGTTGTTATTTTAAGTCTATTTCTGAAGGCTATTCCTTTATAGTATGGGGGAGCAACATCATAGCAAAGCCAAGAGGAGCGGTAGCATTGGGGTTGGTATTATTTAAAACCTTGAAGGCTTCAGAAATTATACGCAATATCCCAGATTGCTTTTGAAGTTCAGGTTTAGGTTTGGGATACTCAGGCTTTTTCTTTTGCAGCCTGGTTTTTGACCTTTTAGTGAGGGCTATGGACTCTGGTTGGGTACCTAGGGATGCCAGGGTAGTCTTCGGTTTGGCCACCGGAGGTCTCACTGGAGCCAGATATTTATTTGGACCCATGGCAGTGTACTGAATCTCTACCTTAAGTCTGATGGTGAACAATAGCCCATCATCATACTTTATTTATAAAACCTCAACCCCCATGTAAATCCTTTGTCCCAACCCATAGCCGGTCTTCCTTTTTCTGTGAAGGAGACTTTGAGGGGGTGGCACCACCCATTACACTCGGGGATGTTGTGCCATCCTTTGTTTCCTATTCCCTGGTGGGTGTAATTAGCTTTTACCGTTATGTAGTCCCAGGATGATGAGGGATTCCAATATCCATCCCACGTGGTCTTGCAGCCCCAGTTTTTGCAAAAATAGTCTGCTTGTCCTCCACACCTGTAAGTTAATGCCCTGTTCTGGTGAGGTCCTGGACATACATAGAAAGTGAGTGCACGTAGCATGCTTCTTCGGAAAGGTGTGGAGCAACCTCCCCATGTATTTAACCTGGTATACGGACACTTCTGACTGGGAGTGTTAGGGAGCTTAGAGATGTCACTGTAAGCCTCTAGGTCCCAATCGGCAGAAGCCCCCATAGCTAATTTGCATATGTCAGGGTACAGGTCAGGCCACCATGTCCCTGTTCCTACAATGATTTTGGATGAGTTCCAGATAGTATTTCCTACCCCATTTATAACATACCAAGTTAACTTTCTAGGAGCATGTGGGCTGGAAGTTTTGGCGCCCTGGAAGAGAAGGGTTAGACATAAGGAAAACAAGAGAGCATTCATCTTACAACAGTTAGGGTGCCCATACAATTTTCAGTCTTAAGGAGTGCTCTGCAGCACTCTGGACTCTCCAGGTGACACTCCCCTGTCCTTGGTCCTCTGGCGCGCAGGTTTCACGTGCGAGGCGTGGATCCAAGCGGAGATCCCGTCTACCTTTACAACTGTTGCGGTTGTTAGAAGCACTAAGTAAGGTCCTTTCCAGTGAGGCTCTAGGGTCTGGGAACGATGTTGTCTGACGTAGACTGTGTCCCCAACCTGGGACGGATGAGAAACTTTGGGGGTTCCAGGCTCGTAGGTGGCTGCCAACTGGGTACAAACATTTTTCTGTACTGCTTGAAGTCCTTTCATCCTGGCATATAAGTCACTGTTATTGTGGCAAGTGGGTTCAAAAGCATCCCCCAGCAAAGTCAAGGGGGCGGGGGCACCATAGAGTATCTCAAAGGGAGTCAGGTTGAACCGGGAGGGGGTGTTCCTAACTCTGAACAAAGCTAAGGGAAGGAGCAACACCCAGTCCACGCCAGTCTCTATGGTTAATTTAGTCAGAGTCTCTTTTAGAGTTCTGTTCATCCTTTCTACCTGTCCTGAACTCTGGGGTCTGTAAATGCAATGTAATTTCCAATCGACCCCTAGGTGTCTGGCCATTCCCTGACTTACCTTGGCGATAAAAGCGGGTCCATTGTCGGACCCGATTACCTTGGGCATCCCGAACCGTGGAAAGATTTCTTCTAGGATCTTCTTGACCACGACAGTGGCTGTTTCTTGTTTCATCGGGAATGCTCCTACCCATCCGGAGAAGGTGTCTATAAAAACTAGGAGATACTTGTAAGCATATCTGCCTGGTTTAATTTCTGTAAAGTCTACTTCCCAATACATCCCTGGTCTGTCTCCTCTGAGTCTTTTACCAGGGCCCTCTGTATTCTTGCAGACATTCACTTTTTGAAAAGGTACACAGCTTTTAACTATTTGTTCTACTAATTGTTTTAGCCCTATGATATGATATTTGGTTTTTAGGACAGTCTGGACCAATTTATCTACTCCCAGATGAGTCCATTGATGCATCTGTTTGACCATGATTTGTGCTTGTTCTTGTGGCAAGATAGGCTTGCCTGATGCTGCATACCAGCGCCCTTTTTCCTGATCAAAGCGGTTGTTAGAATCCCTTGAGATCACTGCTACATCCTCAGCAGAGTATTTAAATTTGGGCTTTTCTAACTTAGGGGTGTCAACTAACAGAATAGGCTTAGGCCTTTTGGCTGCCGCCCTTGCTTCAGAATCCGCCAAAAGTTTCCCTTGGTGATAGGGAAATCCCCTTTCTGGTGACCTGGGCAGTGTATAATACTCACTTTTAGCGGTCGGTGAAGGGCCTCCAGCAGGGCTATGATCTCTTCTTTGTTTTTGATCTCTTTTCCTCCTGAGGTCAGGAGACCCTGCTGTTGATAGATAGCGCTGTGCACATGGGCAGTGGCAAAGGCATACCTGCTGTCCGTGTAGATGCTGATCTTTTTGTCTTCTCCCAGTTCAAGGGCTTTTGTGAGGGCGATGAGTTCTGCCTTCTGGGAGGACGTCCCAGAAGGTAAAGTCTGTGCCCATATCAGATTCTGGCTGTCTACTGTAGCAGCTCCTGCCTTTCGTACTCCTTCTTCCAGAAAACTGCTGCCGTCCATAAACCAGGTGGCTTCAGCATCCATCAGAGGCTGAGCTGACAAGCCTTTCCACCATCTGTGTGCCTCAGCAAGCACTTGTTGGCAGTTATGGATGGGGGGGTCGAGGTCAGAGTCCAGCAGCAGTGTGGCTGGATTCAAGCTTGCCGGTGGAGCAAAAGTAACCCGGTCTGAATTTAGTAACTGAGTCTGATAGTGAGTCATCGGGGGGCTGGCGGACAACACTCTCTAAGGCATGCGGTGCTGAGATTACTAAATTCTGCCCCATAGTCAATTTGTCAGCATACTTTACTAGGACGGCAACTGCTGCTACGATTTTTAGACAGGCTGGCCACCCTGCAGCTACTGGGTCTAATTTTTTGGACAGATATACTAACGGTCTTTTCCACGGCCCCAGTCTCTGAGTTAGGACCCCTTTTGCAATTCCCTTATTTTCTGCCACATACAGGTGGAAAGGCTTAGTTACGTCAGGGAGTCCTAAGGCCGGTGCAGACATTAAGGCTATTTTAATGTTATCAAAAGCCTGTTGTTCCTTTTCTCCCCATTTAAAGGGCTGATTGTTTTTAGTGAGGGGATATTTTGGGGCTGCCATCTCAGCAAAACCAGGTATCCACAGGCGGCAAAACCCAGCAGTACCTAAAAATTCTCTAACTTGCCTTTGGTTAGAGGGTGGCGGGATGTGGAATACTGTCTCTTTTCTGGCCTCAGACAACCATCTTTTTCCATCCTTAAGAAGGTACCCCAGGTAACTGACCTGTCGCTTGCAGATCTGGGCCTTTTTGGTGGAGGCTCGATAGCCCTGTTCTCCCAACTCTGTAAGGAGTCGCTTTGTTCCTTCTAAACATAGCTCCTCTTTGGCCGCCACCAGGAGGAGATCATCCACATACTGCAACAGAGTTACCTGGGGGTTAGAGGCCCAGAACACAGCCAAGTCCTGGTGGAGGGCCTCATGGAAGATGGTGGGTGAGTTTTTGAATCCTTGAGGCAGGCGGGTCCAAGTGAGTTGCCCCACTAGGCCAGTCTCTGGATCTTTCCACTCAAAGGCAAAGTAATCCTGACTTTGTACAGTCAGCGGCAAACAGAAGAATGCATCTTTAAGATCCAGTAATGAATACCAGGTCCTGTCTGGAGGTAAAGAACTTAGAAGATTATAGGGATTAGGGACGGTGGCATGGAGATCGGCCACGCATTTATTTACCTCTCGGAGGTCTTGGACCGGTCGATAGTCATTAGTCCCAGGCTTCCAAACTGGCAGCAAGGGTGTGTTCCACACTGATTGGCACTTCCGTAGGATTCCCAGCTTGGAGCAAGCAGGCAACGTAGGGTCAGATGGCCTCGTGTGCTTCTTGGGACATGGGTATTGTCAGACAGCTATAGGGCTGGCTTGAGCCTTTAATTCTATGTGGACGGGGAGCCGGTTCTTAGCTTTTCCTATCCCTGCTGTTTCTGCCCACGCCTGGGGATAGTTTTCTAACCACCAGTCCATCTGTCCAGTCAACTGCCCATGCTTTTCAAACAATTGGTATTCATCTTCTAACCTGAGGGTTAATACCTGGAGAGGCTTCCCTTGCCGATCTAGCACCTGAGGTCCCTTGGGGTCAAAATGAATTTGTGCACCTATTTTGGTGAGGAGATCTCTTCCCAGCAATGGGTAGGGGCATTCAGGAATAACTATGAACAAGTGGGATACCCGGCCCACGCCTAGGTCCACTGTTCTTTGGGTAGTCCATGGGTACTGTTTGTTCCCTGTAGCCCCTTGTACCCATGACTTTTTCTTGAGAAGAGGTCCATTTGCTTGTAGCAATACTGAATTTTCAGCTCCTGTATCTACCATGAACTGAAGAGGCTTCCCCTCTACTTTAAGAGTTACCCTGGGTTCAGGGAGGGGACCCGAACCCCATCCCCCCTAATCACTGTCTTCCTGCAAGGTCAAGACTTTGGGGGCTTGAGGCCCTTTCTTTTTCTTAGGGCAGTTTTGCACCCAGTGCCCCCTCTCCCTACATTAAGCACATTGATCCTTTGCCAGGGGTCCCTTCTTATTGCTTGGCACCATATTATTACACTCTCTGGTTTCCCTAACTACAGTGGCCAGAAGTCTGTGAAAATTTTTTTCTTGGCGCTTTTCTCTCTTTATTTTTTTAGCTTCTTCTGACTCTCTGTTATGATAAACCTTTTCAGCCACCTGCACTAATTCTCTTAATGACTTATCTTGCAACCCTTCAAGCTTCTGCAGCTTCTTTCTGATGTCCCTGCTAGACTGATCAATAAAGGCAACTGTCACTGTAGCCTTATGTTCTTCACTACCAGGGTCCTATGGGGTAAACTGATGGAACGCCTCCATAAGTCTTCCTAAAAATGCTGACGGAGACTCATCGGACCCCTGAGTTATCTCTCTCACCTTAGTCAAATTGGTTTGGGGCATTTTGCTGCCCCTCTGAGACCTGCCATTAGAGCCTGGTGATAGACCTTTAGGTGCTCCCTACCTTCAGCCGAATTGAAGTCCCAATTTGGTCTGATCAACGGGAACCCTGCATCTATAACATCAGGAAGGAGAGTAGGTCGCCCATCGGCCCCTGGAACATTCGTTCGAGCCTCAAGGAGGATTCGTTGTCTCTCCTCTGTGGTGAACAGGACCTGTAGAAGCTGCTGGAAATCATCCCAGGTGGGCTGATGAGTAAAGAGGAGAGATTCTACAAGGTTAGTGAGACCTTGAGGTTTTTCAGAGAAAGGGGGATTCTGAGATTTCCAATTGTAAAGATCAGAGGAAGAGAAAGGCCAATCCTGTAAGGGCTGATTGCCTTCATCAGGAGGGCTGTAAGCCCGCAGTGGGGATATAGGAACAGCATCTGGAGGGGCTACTCGTTTACTGCATGTCCCTTGAGCAGGCCCTCCCTCTGGTTCATTCTCTACTGGAGGATGGGACTTGGGGGTGCTAAATGAGGTTAATTTGATGTTACACTACATCAGCGAATGCTGTAAAGCAGAAGTTTCCATCTAGGGTGTCTGAAGACTGCATACATATACCCAAGTAAGAGAATCGCATGTTTAGATGCTTAGCAATGGAGGGGTTTTAGTTAAACTGGAACTGTAAAAAAGTAGTAGTGGAGTAAAATGTCTTTGCTGCATTTCTTCTCATCTGTCTTTACTACCACAATCCTGGAGGGGTGTGGTGAAAACAGAATAGTCAGGCTTCCTCCATATTTCTTGTAAAAAAGTTGTGTGTGGGTGGAGTTAGTGTGCAGTGCACCCATTTATCTTTCTAGTTAATTGCTTTTGTGTGTTCCGCAGTTTGTGAAGCAGGCTGGCAGCAGAGAGCTCACGTCTAACAGCAGAGCATGTTTACTCTGCTGACAGCTGCTCAGTGTCAGTTTTTCTTTGGACTTTGTGAGTAGCAGTTGAGTTTTTGAGTTTCTCTATGGAGTGCTTAGCTCGTAGTGTTGTGTGTGCTGAATAAAGGCTATTCCTACTTCAACCAAGCTCTAAGGACCTTTTTGCCAGTTACCTTGCTCATACACCTGTGTGTGAAGGGTTTTTGAATGGGCTTGAGGTGTCTGAGAGCTTCAGACCCAGCCCTACAAGGGGCCAGAAACAGCGTCTGTACATGTTGGGATGTGAAGCCAATGTTGACATCATTCATTTATTAAACCAGAATTAATTTACCTACTAACATGAATCAATGAATGTTCTAAGAGCTGGAATTATAGACATACAATTCATTATTTTTAAGCCAAGGTATCATACTTTGCTTACCATGATATGAAGTCTGTTGTGTTTGTTTTTACTTTCTTAAAAAAAAAAATACGGTGAATATTTTATCTAAAACTATGGACAGTAGAAACTGGCCCAGTCCCACGCTTTCCTGCAGGTGTGTGCTAATTTTGTGGGGAGGGGGGCAGGCCTGAGCATACATGCAGCGGGAGCCCTGGTCCACCTCGTCCTTGCATAGGTTACGTGGTTGAGGCTGGGCCCCCCTGGAGGGAAAGGTGCCCATGGCATGTGAATTGGTCAGTCGTGTTGTGGCTGAAGACACATGCATCAGGCCCACTGCAGAACAAGGAGGCCTTCTCCACCGGCCACACGGCACTAGCTCAGCTCAGCTGCCTCCTCGGCCTGGCAGCCGTTCATGCGCCACGCTGTCCAGCTGCCTCTGGTTCAGGCAGGGGCTGGCCACCTCGGGGACCTCGTGGGGGAGAGAAGCACCATCATTGAAGCTGTGCAAATGCACAAATCCGACACACCAGGGTGGCTCACTTCACAAAGACCACAAGACAAGAGAGACGCTGCAATCAGGCAAGAGGGATTTTATTTTCCAACTAGTTGGGGCCCTTTGCCTTTCGGAAAAGCGGCTCTGAACTTACAATACGAAGGCTTTTTATACAGTTTTTCTTAGACAGACTCTCATAACAGGCTGAGTTGTCAATTAGCTGTGGCGCCTTAAGATTTATGGTTAGGCTCAATAGACTAGCACCCTGATAAGAGATGTTACATGTTTATCTTCCCTGTTCCAGCCAGGTGTCCAGAAGATAAGGGGGGGCCTGGTTTAGTCCTTGGGACTGGCTGTCTCCTGGAATGTGTGTCTGGTTCTGCCTTGACTTCTGCCTGACCTCTTAAAAGCTGCTTCACCTTTAGATATGTTTTCCCCATTTATAGTAAGTGCTTACAGGAATAATTGGTGCAGGTTAAGTTAAAGTCATATATTTCCGTTACAATTTGTACAGGCTAAAGTTATATAGGCAATAGTGCAGGTTAGAGTTACATTTTTATAACACAAACTGAGGTCCGGCCGGGCTCCTCCTGAAGGCCAAGCCACTGTGAGGGCTGGTGCTCAGGCTGAGCCTGCTGGCCCCGACAAGCTTTTCTTGGGTGGGCAGCGGGTGTGGCGTCGGCGCGGGCTCCTCGGGATGGAGGGAAGGAGCAGGCAGAGCGTGCTCGAGGTGGAGCCAGCCTGCAGCGGGCTGTGCCAGACGTGGCCAGGTCCGTGTCCAAGCGGGGATACAAGGTGCACGTCCAGTTTGTGTTCTAACTGGCTCACTCTGGGCCATTGCTTCCTTCCTGCCAAGCTGCCACTATTTTTAAAGTTTTTTTTGAAGGGGGGGGGGAGACTTGCCTTCTAACGAGATTGTTGCAATTTTTCTCTCAATTCGGGCACTTCTGGGCTCACCCTCAGAGCTCTGCTGCTCGTTATTGGTCAGCAGGGAATAGTGGGGATGCTGGTCTGACTCAAGGGCTATTTTGACGTTCATTATACAGAGTCTCCTTAACTTACAATGTGGTTACCTCCCCACAGCTGCCTCTGGTTCAGGCAGGGGCTGGCCACCTCGGGGACCTCGTGGGGGAGAGAAGCACCGTCACTGAAGCTGTGCAAATGCACAAATCTGACACACCAGGGTGGCTCACTTCACAAAGACCACAAGACAAGAGAGACGCTGCAATCGGGCAAGAGGGATTTTATTTTCCAACTAGTTGGGGCCCTTTGCGTTTCGGAAAAGTGGCCCTGAACTTACAATACCAAGGCTTTTTATACAGTTTTTCTTAGACAGACTCTCATAACAGGCTGAGTTTTCAATTAGCTGTGGCGCCTTAAGATTTATGGTTAGGCTCAACAGACTAGCACCCTGATAAAAGATGTTACATGTTTATCTTCCCTGTTCCAGCCAGGTGTCCAGAAGATAAGGAGGGGCCTGGTTTAGTCCTTGGGACCGGCTGTCTCCTGGAATGTGTGTCTGGTTCTGCCTTGACTTCTGCCTGACCTCTTAAAAGCTGCTTCACCTTTAGATATGTTTTCCCCGTTTATAGTAAGTGCTTACAGGAATAATTGGTGCAGGTTAAGTTAAAGTCATATATTTCTGTTACAATTTGTGCAGGCTAAAGTTATATAGGCAATAGTGCAGGTTAGAGTTACATTTTTATAACACAAACTGAGGTCCGGCCGGGCTCCTCCTGAAGGCGAAGCCACTGTGAGGGCTGGTGCTCAGGCTGAGCCTGCTGGCCCCCACAAGCTTTTCCTGGGTGGGCAGCGGGTGTGGCGTCGGTGCCGGCTCCTCGGGATGGAGGGAAGGAGCAGGCAGAGCTTGCTCGAGGTGGAGCCAGCCTGCAGCGGGCTGTGCCAGACGTGGCCAGGTCCGTGTCCAAGCGGGGATACAAGGTGCACGTCCAGTTGGTGCTCTAACTGGCTCACTCTGGGCCATTGCTTCCTTCCCGCCAAGCTGCCACCAATTTTAAAGTTTTTTTTTTATTGGGGCGGGGGGACTTGCCTTCTAAGGAGATTGTTGCAATTTTTCTCTCAATTCGGGCACTTCTGGGCTCACCCTCAGAGCTCTGCTGCTCGTTGTTGGTCAGCGGGGAATAGTGGGGACGCTGGTCTGACTCAAGGGCTATTTTGACGTTCATTATACAGAGTCTCCTTAACTTACAATGTGGTTACCTTCCCATAAACCCATCATAAGTTAAAAATATCATTGTCAAGAATGCATTCAACACAACTAAACTACTGAGCATCAGAGCGTGGCCTAGCCTTCCTTAAGTGTGCTCAGAACACTTACATTAGCCCACACTTGAGAAAAGTCATCTAACATAAAGCCTATTTTATATTGAAGTGTTGAATATCTCGTGTACCTTATTGAATACCTTACTGAAAGTGAAAAACAAAACGGTTGCTTGGGTGCTCAAAGTGTTGTTTCCACTGAATGCATATCGCTCTTGCACCGTAGTAAATTTGAGAAGTTGTAAGTTGGACCATTTTAAGTCAAGATATATCTGTCCAGGTAGATATGTTACAGGGGACTTATTAGGAAAATTGATTCTCATGATTATGAAGGCTGAGAAGTCCATCTGCAAGCTGGAGACCCTGGGATGCCAGTAGCGTGACTCAGTGCAAGTCCAAACGTGTCAGAACCAGGGAAGCTGATGATGTAACTCTTAGTTCAAAGTCTTAGGTCCCACAAGGCAACTGTACAAGTTCCAGAGACCAAATGGAAGAGAGCCTGAAGTTCTGGTTCAAGGACAGGAGAAGAAACGCATTCCAGCTCAGCGGGTGGTTCCTGACAACTTTGAGGGGCAGCTTCCTCACTCAGTTCACTGACTCACATGCCAGTCTCTTCTGGAAACACCCTCACAGACACACCAGAAATAATGCTTAAGCAGTTCTCCTTAGCCAGATCAATTCAAAACCTAAAATTAACCATCACAGCTATTGCCTGTATTATCTGTTTTTGCTTATTTTAGGCAATCCTTACTTTGCACATTTGTGAAAGGCACAAACTTTAGGTATTATGATTTAGTTAAATAATGCCTGGCACTCAAAAACTAAGATTTAGATGTGTTCTTGTATATCAACTTGTTTTCTGCTGTAATAAAACATTTTTTCATTAGTTCTGAAATATTATCGCTTCATACATTTTATTTCTTTGCTGTGTGTCTCTTCATTTGCTTCCTCTAGAACTTTGACCATATGTATAAACACTTTTTTTGTCTTCTTTCAGTCACAGCATCTATCTCCATTTCTCTCATCACTATGTGATAATTTCTTCATACTTCCACTCAGCATATAATTTATTTTTCCAGATATATTTAACCTGCTGTTAAAATTTTATCGAGCTTTTCTTTAATTTCATTGAGTTTATTTTCCTTTTCTAGAAATTTTATTATTGTTTTATCTGCCTGATCATTCCTGAGACCCTCTTTTTGTTTTTAAAGTTGCATCATTAAAAAAATATTTTATGCATGTGCTTCACTTTTTAAAATTAAATGTCTGCAGACCTTTGAAGTCTAAATCTGTTTTCTGCTATGTTGCTGATTCACTTATTTCACTTATGTTGACTTGCTTTCTTATGGTGTTGTGGTTTTATATATATATATACACACACACACACACACACACACATATATATTTATATACACTTATACATATGCATATTATTTATTTATTTTTGATTATACATATTTATGGGGTACGGGGTTTACTATCAGTATTTGTGTACAGTATGTGAATCAATATTACTAGCATGTTCATCATTACAAATGTAATTATTCTTTGTGTCCCTTACCCAATTATTCCCTAAACCCCCTCCTCCTCTCCATTTCCCACCTCTATTACCTACAGGTCTGTTCTCTCCTTTTGAAAGTTCAACATTTTATTTGGCCTCTTTCTTTCTTTCTTCCTTCCTTCCTTCCTTCCTTCCTTCCTTCCTTCCTTCCTTCCTTCCTTCCTGTTTTCCTTCCATTCTTCCTTTCTTCTGTCCTCTTTCCTTCCTTTCCTTCTTTTTCTCCCTCCCTCACTTCCTTCCTTCCGTCCACTTATGAGTAAGGACATATGGTATTTCTGTTTCTGTACCTGGCTTAATTTCAATTAACATAATTTTCTCTGAGCTCATCCATGTTGCTGCAAATAGCAAAATTTCATTCTTTTTTATGGCTGAGCAGTATTACATTGTGGAAATATATATGGTGTTCTGTTTTTAAACATTTTACTTTTCTTTACAATGCAAGATCTGAAGTCCTCCATTGAGAAAAGTTTATTCTAGAAAAGAGATGTCTCTGCTTCTAAATATGTTAGTGGTCAATGATTACCACCAACCCAGGGCTCTTTTCTTGAAAAGCTAGTCTAGAATGTAAATCTTATTCAAAATATTACTGCATAAACAAATTCTCCAGCATTGTAGCAAAATTCTATAATGTAGACAATACTCTCCTTCCTTGTGGCTACAACTTAAATTTTGCAACATCTTTTTAAAGTTTCCTTTACCCCCCTCTCACTTTTTTTTTGGAGGAACATATTGAAGGATTGTCCTATATTTTATAAGGTGAGAAAAGCCTCAAAGATTGTCATGTCCAAAAATTAGATTTTTTTTCTTCCAGTTAGGTTAACCCTTACAGTATTTATCTTTCATAATGACAGAAGAGAATACTTTCCTTGATATAAAATCTATTCAGTCATTGCTACCTTGTTCGATGTTGACTAACTTCCAGGAATAATAACAAGAAATATTGTTTTTCTATAGTAAGCATTTTCTATAATACAAAAATAGTGCTATATTTGTTAATTTATATTATTTCTTTATTCCAAAAAAGCATTTTAAAAGACTTATTTATTCAATTTAAGACATAAGTTCATTCAGTTTTAGCTAGGGAGTAGAACATGTTTAGAAAACCCTAGCCTGTTATATGTAGAACCTTCACAGAGCTCAAGTGACTTTCATCACTTAAATTATTTTAATTGGCACACAATAGCCTTACAAAAAGTTCCACAAAATCACCTGTTGACTCAGTTTTAAGTATCCACAAAGTGTTACAGATTTTAAAACTTATGAATGTTTTTAAAATTAAAAACATTCTTTCTCAATTAAGATTATAATAGCTTTTATATTTTCTTCAGATTTATCATTTTCTCTAATTTACTGGACCTATAATTTCTGTACTGGGATAGATTACAATTTCAATAATAAATCTGACAAACACGTTTGTTAGAAATAGATGAGTTGTTTCTATTTTCTGTGAGATTACAATTATTCTTATTAACACTACAGAAATTTAAATTTTAATATCCTTAATGTATAGGTAAGTTTATATTCCCCAGAAAATGGAGAAAAGTTTTACTGTACGTTTCTTTTTTTTTTCTGTGACCTAAAGAAAAAAACAATTGAAATATATTTTAATTTATTATAATTAGCATTTTATAAAGTTTTGCTACTTATTAGCTCAGAGTACCAACTTAGTACTTTCTTGAAGTATACACATGTTAAACTTACAACTACTATGGAAAAACAGTATGGAGGTTTCTCAAACAACTACAGATAGCTCCATATGATCCAGCAATCCCACTTCTGGGTATATACCCAAAGGAAAGGAAATCATCATGTTGAAGGGACACCTGCATTCCCATGTTCATCCCAGCTCTGTTTACAATAGCCAAGATATGGAACCAACCTAAATGTCCATCAATGGATGATTGGATAAGGAAAATGTCATATACACACACATACACACACACACACCATGAAATACTACTCTGCCATAAAAAAAAATAATGAAATTCTCCCATTTGCAACAAGATGGATGAGCTTGTAGAAACTTATGCTGAGTGAAATAAGGAAAGAACAGAGGGATAAATACTATATGTACTCTTTCATAAGTGGGAGCAAAGAGACAAAGAAGAAAGGAAAGAAAGACCACAGTGGTGCATTGGACTTTCAGAGGGAGAGAACATACCTAGGATACAAAGTGAAGTGGGAAAAGGGGGATGGGGAGGGAAGTCAGGGATAATTGGGGGGATAACTAGGTGGGGACATGGGGTGTAATCACAATTCGTGGTAATGTACATACTGCCAGTATGAATCTGGCCATCACATCTTAGGCACAAGAGGTGACAGTTTGCTTTTTACCCCATGAATCTTCATAACTGTAATAGTCTGTTTTGTGTTGTTATAACAGAAATACCTGAGACTGGGTAATTTATTAAGCACGGAGGTTTATTTGACTTAGAGTTCTGGGACTGTTTGAATCTAGCATGGGCCTCAGGCTACATCTACTCATGGTGGAAAGTGGCGAGAGAGAGAGAGAGAGAGAGAGAGAGAGAGAGAGAATTTGCCGGGGTCTTTTAAACAAACAGTTCTCATGGGACCTAATATAATAGAGCAACAACTCACTCAGGCACCCGTCTCCCAGGGAGAGCATTAATACTTTCATGGGGGATCTGCCATCATGACTCAAACCACTTCCAACACTGCCACATTGGGGATCAAATTTCCACATGAATTCTGGGAGGACAAAACATCCAAACTTCATCAATAACCAATAAAAACAAAACAAAACATTAGAAAAAAAGAAAAAAAAAACAGTTGGGGTCAGGGATATGTTTTGTTGCTATTGATTTTGAGATGGCATGAACCTGATACAGTGATTGTAAATTAGTGTTTTTTATACTTTAAGAATGTCTATGTGAATCACCAGTTGTGTTTAGCAAAGGTACAGATCCTGAAATATTACCATCAATTGATTTTACTCAATTGGACTGTGTGGAGAAATGGAATATATATTTTTTAAATAGAACCCCAAGAGATTTTTGTAAAGATTATTTTGAGAATATTAGTCAATTCTATTTAGTCTATATATTTTTAGAATAACGATGGGCAACAGAAATCCTCTGTATTAGATATCACGTTAGATTTTCTTGATATAGTATAACGCATGC